GTCTGTTCACGTTGGCTTCTTCAGGGCTCCGTCCTGGGTTGTCTCCTGGTGCCGCCCTGGGTCCTGGTGCCGCCCCGGGTCCTCTGTTCACATCCATCGCTTTGGTCACCGTCCAGGTGATGCTGATTCCCGGATGTATACAGCTCCGCCCGTATTTCCACCTGAGCTCACACCTGCTTGTCTGACTGTCTGGCCAGAGTCCCTACTTACCTATCTAGTGTTTCCAGAGGTTGTGCCAGACAGACAACCTGGGGTCATCACCGATGCCCTCTTGCCTCCCCACTGAGCAGCTCTAAGTCCAACCACCGCTCCCCTTCTCTGCTTAAATCTGACCGCTTCCCTCCTTACTACCTTCATCCAAGCCCCTGCTTTCCCTGTCCGGGCCACAGCGGCAGACACTGATGCCTCCCTCCTCACCTAGTCACCTCCTACACTCTTCTCCACATCGAGACCAAAGCCATGAAGAAGAATGCTCACGTGATGCTCTTGTGCTGAACCCCTGAGTAGCTTCCCATTGCTCTTGCAGTAATGACTGAGGTTGTTGGCAGAACCCGCTAGGCTCAGCGTGCTCTGGTCCTGTTTATCTTCCCATAGCTCCTGTTTCTCTGCCCAGCCCCTGGGCTTCAGCATCTGATTTAAGTTCCCCCTCCCTGAACCCTGACCCTCTCGATACCTCAAAGGGCACCACTGAGAGGTAAAAGCAATGCTATTAATGACTAGTCTGTAGCAACAGGCGTGAACAGGACCATCTTGGGAAAACTGTGTGATCCCCCTGCTCAGGGGTGAATAATACTGCCTCCTGCCCCGGGGCCTTTGCTCATTCTATTCCTTCTGCCTGGGAGTCTCTTCCTTGCCTCGTCACACTTTCAAAGTGTCCCCATGACATCCTCCGAGGTGCCATCGAGCCCTTCTCTGGGGGTCTTCCTCACTGCGGCCATTTGGCACATGTTTATGGGATCCTGGGTGGGTACTGATATCCCCATTCAGCTGCAAGCTCTTGCAGTCGGGAACCACCTCTGGGTTTGCTCCTGATACATGTTCGGCGAGCAGCTCAGGGCCTGGCATGCAATTGCTAAATGATGTTCAACTGGGGAGCGCGTGGTTAAGTCAGGTAATCGCTGTGAGACAGTTAGCCACAGGTTGCTCATCTTTCTGCGCTTCCTCCTTTGTTTCTGACTGTTCAAGGATTTTCGTGTGATGAACAGCCTTGGAGATGGAAATAATGTCTTCCTTCAGAACAAAGAACAGGGACCAACCTTCCATGTAACAAAGATAACTTCCCCTGGGGAAAAGCGCAGGCGTGCCTACTGCGCCTTAGGAAAGCCTCGGGCTCTGCAGGAGCCGGCGCTTCTCCGCAGCACAGCTGACGGCGCGCCCAGGGCTCGTCTGGCTCTGCTCGAGCTGCCTGTGGGCACCAGGGCTCAGGCCACGCAGGCAGAAATCGCGGGCGCTCTGGCTGCCGCGGTGAGTGACGGGTCCCTCGTCTCTGACACCGGAGTCTTGGGTTTCCTCCCCGTATCCATGCCGGTCGCATGGTGGGTGAACCCTCAGACTTTTCACTGGTCTTGACATTAATTAGCGTAATTCTGTTTTATCCACTGCATGTTCCTGGGACTTCAGCATCCAGATGTAAAGAAATGAAACGTGAATGCTTTGAGAACAATCCCTCTGCTCCTTCCACACAAGCCACGTCCCTGGGGCCACCCCCATGGGAACCTCTGAAGCCGTTGATGGTTTGCCTCTCTCTCTGTTTGTTCTCTTTTCCTCCTTCTAATTCTGTAAATTTTTAGCCCTCCTAGGTCTTTAGTCTTTATTCTATTTCCTTTCAAGTGGGTAAACTAATTTCTCCCACAACTGTTTGCTGAATTTTATCTTCCTCTGAGTGAGGAAAACATCCAAGGTTTAGTAACGTACAGAAGAAAAGGCCTTGGGTCAGAAGCTGGGAGACAGCTGTTAGAGTTGCTCAGGAGTGACAGGTTTACGTGAAGTTGGACAAGTCACCAAACTCGCTTCCTCATCTGAGTTTGTTCACTCGCTCGCTCATTCATTCATTCAACAAACCACTTATTGAATTATTTGAAATAAATGACATCATTGCTGTCTTCAGAAGACTCACTGTGTAATGGGGGAGGCAGATGCAGGTACTCAAGACCCCAACACAGTGAACGGCCTGATAACAGAGGAGATCCTGGAGAGCCGCCGCGGGGCCCGGGGGCTGGGCAGAGGGGCAGGAGGGGTCAGCGTGGGCTGGGGCCTGAGCCGAGTCTGGTGGGGCCATGACTGGCCGTGAGGAAGGCTGGGAAGGGAGGGAGAAAGTCCCCACCGTTCGTGGTGAGTCTTTACCTTACTTCCCTTCCTTACTCTCCTTTTCCTCGACAATCAAACCTCTAGTGGTGTCCCTAAGAGACAGTCATTATCACCCCGAGGGCCACGGCACGTGTACCCAGTGGACGGCAGTATCACCACCAAGTGAAGAGGCCAGCCCCCGCCTCCAGCACAGCCCTGCCGTCTGGGCCGGTAGCATCCCCCACGGGGTGGCTGTGGGGACGCGAATGCTCAGCACCGCCCCTGGTACAAGGCAACCAACATCCAAGGGCCTGCATCAAAACGGGGTGGGGGGACGACTTTGGAAATGATTCACATACTTTCTTTTTGGTCTCTTGGAGAATATGACCATCTCCCCAGTTGGCCCAGGATTTCCACCTGCCTGGGGTGGGAGGAGGGGCTGAGCTCAGAAATATCTCAGAGTCCAGCAAGGGGACAGAGGTAACTGTGGGTTTCTAATGTGCATAATAGGATTGGACAGCACGAGGTGAGCCCTGGAAGGCGGGGCATTGTCTAGAGGTCGCCTGTTCTGTGTCTTCTCCCACCAACACCTGCATCACAGTCTTTAGAAGGAAGGCAAGGGCGATTCGGGGCATCTGGTGAGAAGATGCAAGATTGTCATTATTATTTACAACTGTGTGAGTCAAAAAAGAGTTTCACAGCCTCAGTCACCTGGGCTGCCTTCCAGAAGCCTGCAGCAGGAGAGAGCCGTGCTGGCCTGAGCAGTTCCTGTTTCCTCTGGTCCTTCAAACAAGCGCATGCTTGGAAAATGTCTGTTCTGAAACTATCTATATTTTATCAAGTAGGAAGAAAACGTGTTGCTATTTCTTGCTCATTTCAGAGAGACACAAAGTGAGCCCAGGAATTTGGAAGCATCCCAGAGCTTTTAGATACATCTTTGGAGCGCGTTCCAAGGTTGAGCCTGCAAACATGTCCACTGATTTAAATTTTTAACAGGAAAGTGTGTTATTTTAAAATTATCTGGATTCCAGCCTCATAGCAATGCTATTGTGCTTCCAAGGGGTTGGTACAGGGTTGGATGTGATTATTGGAAGGTAAAAGCCTGTGAATTATCTTTTGACGGGGGGTTCCTGAGTTCTTCAGTTTTCTTTGCTCTTCAGTGGTGCTTATTTTGCTGGTTGTGAAAATGGAAATAGACCAGGATTTGCTCCAGATCTGAGCACCTGGAGTTGAGCGGCACCAAGATGCCAATAAGGTAAATCACCCTATGCCTCCCTTTTGCAGTGAACGGTGACGTGGTGGTGGTGTACATTTAAAAAATTAAGAGATGATAACTGTGAAATATTTGAAATATTTCCTCCCAGCCTTGAAATTTTAAATATTTCTTTCTTTTCCAAAACAATATTTGACATATTTTAAAAAGCCGGAAAGCAACACAAAGCTTGTAGTGAAAAAGAGCAATCCTTACCCTACTGCACCCTGACTAAGAACTGAGGCAGACACTTACAAGCCTTTGCTTATATGTTCTGCTTTTTTATTTTCATCTTTCTAAATAATAGGCTGATACTGCTATTTCTTGATTTTTCAAATTCTTGTGACTTCAGCTTGTGAAAGATGAGAACCCAGTTCTTTTTGTCCTGTCTCTACCCCCCACCCCACCTCCATGCAGTATACACGCCTCTGACCCTCCACCCTCCCAGCTATGATTGTGTAGTATGTTTGTGGTGGTGACCATGTAAATGTCGTTCACAGCAACACCACCTATCCTTTCGTGGTTGTCACATGCTCTGTGTCAAATATTTGAGTGTTAAATATTTGGGTTTCTAACCTTCAGGGTACATGGCAGGACATTTTCCCTGCTCTTTTGAACTTGGGTGGAGTCATATGACTAGATCTGGTTGATAATCTCCAGATCATTTAATTCCCGGTATGAAATTCTCTGGGTTTCTCCTTATACCTGGCATTGCTAATCACCAGTGTTCAAGAAGATAGTTGCTCTATCAGCCTGGGCCCTTTTGCTACTATGATGAGGAAAGCCCCTTTTCAATCCAGTGAGCATAAGCAAAAAACATCTTATTGTTTTCAGCTACTGTGATTTGGGGGATGTTTGTTACCAGACTGCAACTGAAGTTTTCCTAACTGATAATTCTTTCTTGAAGAAATGCTTATTTTTCCTGAAATATAATATGTAATATAAGATATATCTCTGTACCCACTTTAAATTCTCCACTAAAAGTATAAATCTCTTCTCAGTATTCTTTGTCAAGGACTCTTAATTTATTCCTTTCTTTGGGACTTTCCATTCAAGAGTTTCCCTCCAGCCCCCTGTACAGTTGTCTCCCTGGAGATTCCCTTCATCTTCATATTGTGAAGCATAAATCCCCTAGTTCCTATAACTCAAATTGGCAAAGATTATTATTGCTATCCCAACATCTATTCTCCTAGATATGCATTACATTTCCTAGCCTCCCTTGTGGTAGGTGGGCTCTGTAACTTATTTTTGGCCAATGAGATATAAGCAATAATATTGTATGTGACTTTTAGAAAGTGTCCTTAAAGAAAAGAGGCTCACCCTTTTTTTGTATTTTTCTGTATCAAGCTACATGGGATAGAATGTGATGGCTGGAGCTCCAGCAATCATTTTAGACCATAATGACAAGAATATTTTGAAGGAGTCTAGTTCTCTAATAATTATTAAGCCACAAAACAAACACTGGGATGCTTATTGTCATGGTTTTATTATTATTTTTTAGGGTGAGAAATAAACTTCCATAGTATTTAGTATGGTATTGAGTTTTTGGTCACATGAGGATGAAGCTGATTCAAACTGATTCTTCATTTTGCTTAGCTAATGCTCTTGTTTTGATGAAGCACATCCTCTTAGTCATGGCTTGGTCAGGAAATAGAAACAATTCCATATATTTCAGGTACAAGGAGTTTAATACAACAAAGAAATTGTTAGATCATTGTTTCACAACTTTTATCAAAATGAATTCCAAATGGATTAACTAACTAAATGTAAAAGGGAAATCATAACATATAGGTAAACATTTACGTGATTCTAAGCTGGAGGAAGATCTTCTAAAGATAACACTAATAGAAACCAAAAACAAGTTGAATGGGTTTAAAACAAGAAAGAATCATTTGTAGGGCATAAAACACTGAAAGACAAAATAAAACAGTAAGTGAAAATGAATAGGAAAGCATGATTAAGACTCAGGGTTGCTGATCAAAGGTTCTTTCCTTTCACCAGGACTTCTCAGTCTTGGCACCTTTGAGGTTTTGGACTTGGAGTTTTTGTTATGGGGATCTGTCCTGTGCATTGTAGCACCTTTTGCTTCTTCCTGCTAGATTCCCAGTAGCACTCTCTCCCCCAGATGTTGACAACTGAAAATGTCTCCAGATGTTGTCAAATGTCCTGAGGCACAAACTCACCCAAGTTGAGAACCATCTACATCAGGATTTGTGAAACATCGATGGCTGGGTCTTCCGCCTAGAGTTTCTGATGTGGTAAGTCTGGGGTTGGGTTTGCAAATTCTCATTTTCAGTAAGTTCCCAGGTGGTGCTAAGGCTGCTGGTCTGGGGACCACACTTTAAGAACTTCTGATTTCTACTACTTTGCTTGCAAATAAACATGTCGTTCCTTATAGAATAAAAGTAGCAATAATATTGACATTTCCAGAAGATGAGTTTAGAATCCATGCTCTTACAAGAAATTGGAAGACAGCTGCAAAATTTGTGGTTTGTGGATCTGATGAAGATTTGGTTTACACTTGCTCTAAATTCAGTGATTTTTCTCAAATAATATTACTGTAGAGATGATCAAAATGAAAAGAAACTATCTCAAGAGAAATAATAAAGAAGACAGTAATGAATTGTATTAGTCTATGATGTGGACGCCCACCCAGCTTTATTCAGCTTTTCCCCAATTGCTGGTTAAGCTTCCTGTGATGAATTTTCTATGAATTTCCAGAGGCTGTATAAGAAAAGCTATACTGTGTTCCTCACTTAGTGATACAAACATTTTAACACTTTAACTAAATGATTTTTTGTTGGAACAGCAGAAAATGGCTGGAATGAATGCTGTACACATTTCTGCAGATCAGAAAGAGAATAATGAAAGAAATCATTATGGCCTGAATTTCAGTGGCTGGCTTATATTTAATCTTCTAGGTTTATCAGTCATGACAGAACTCTGCAGAGGCATTTTTAGTAGTAATTGCTTTTTAGCACTAATCAGTGGTGGCTCTGCCTGCCCGGTGTCAATGTTGATTGTAACCAAGTGAATCTGAGAAACAAAACGATATATCCTCGCGCCAGCAAGCTACAAACAAAATCAATAGCCCTGTGCTGGCAACATCATTTTATTGCTGTCTGCTTAATCTCCTCTACTCTTTTGCAATTACTTTTATTATTACTGCTCATTTAATGAGACCCTGGAGTTTGCAGCCAGATGGTATGGTTAGTTAAATCTGGAAGACTCTAATGGAATTGAGTTCAAACCAGGTTAAGAGTAACAGAATCACAAACTGTAGTGGTCATCATTTCACGGTGCGCTGTTTTGTGTGCCTTTTACACACCAGAAATCAGTACTGGCTTCAAACAGAAAGACTTGGATTGGTATTCAGAGAGACTGTGTGTGCTCACTCACTCATTCATGTATTCATTCAACAAATATTTCATTGTGTTTCCATCTGGGTGCTGCAGTATGGCATCGACAAGACAGGCGTGGTTCCTGCCCCACTGAGCTTCTAGTCAACTATGGGAGAAAGAACATATCTAACAATGCAATGTTACTGTGCTTTGTGTTAAGCCCTAAGAGGGAAGAAGCAAACTGATGTCGGGGGCAGAGAATAACAGGGAAGAACAAATCTGACTCCATAGTGAATGTTTCTTTTACTTTAACCTTTGTGTTCTATTTCTTTTGCCACAAGTCAACCACTTAAAGGATGTTGCCTATAGCTTAAAGTACACATAACGGCCCATCTCTGGGAACCCTGCTTCCCATGCCTGAGCGTAAGCTAAAATATCTTTGTTTGGCTCACAGGAAACACCCTGGCCAGTCTTACCTGTAAATGGCTCCAGGAAAGGAGAAATTAACACATCCCCTCTGGAGTCTGGTCAGAACCAGGAAATAATTGCAACAATCTATCCCATTTTTTACTTACCTCCTCACCTCCCCTGCTTTGCTGTATAAAAGAAACTAGCCTCCAAACCCAGGTGAGATGGTTCTTTGGGACACTAGTCCACCATCCCCTCAGGCTGCTGACTTTCTGAATAAAGTCACTCTTCCTTGCCCCAACAACTCGTCTCTCGATTTGCTGGCCTGCCGTGCGGCGAGCACTACCAGCTCGGACTCAGTAACAAGCAGCTGTGTGACGTTGAGGTGGGCAGTCAGGGAAGCTCTCCAAGGAGGTGCTATTCAAGTTAAAACTCAAATGATGAGAAGGAACTGAGGGCGGGAAGCAAGAGGAAAGTCATTGTTGTGTGTTGGAAGGAGAGGCACAAAGGCCATGGGATGGAAGTCACTCGTTGTCTCCAAGGGAACAGCAAGGACACAATTGTGGCTGGAGCCTCGTGTGGGGAGGAGGGTGGCCCCAGATGAGGCCAGGAGCTGCTGGACACAGAGGTGCTGCGCGGGGCTGGGGGCATGGAGGCACTGAGGTTTTCCAGGGATTTTAAATACACTTTTGTGCCAATGTACTGATAGGTAAGACTCACAGGAAGAACAGCTTTGGGGTCAGGGCAGTGAATATTCATGATCCAGACAGAATGTAAAGTCAGAAGCATGATTTTAGACCTTTGTGCAAATGGCAGGTGAGGCAGAGGTGACATTTTAACTAATAAAATTGCCTTACGTAGTAGCAATAATTTAAAGTTACATCATCACCCCGCATCACGTCCTTGGTAAATGGCTGCAGTCCCCTCCCTATGGTTTCCAACCGGCTCTTTCTTCCTGGCCTGGGTCTCCCTCTCTCCCGTTGGGCGCTCCTGCATCTGTTCAAAGAGACACGCGACCACCTGGGAACCGAGGTCAAGAGGACTGGGCAAACTGCCGGTGCCCCCACCCCCCACCCCGTCCCGAGAATCCTCCTAGCCATTCTTGCTTCCCTTATTGACCCTTGCGTTTGCTTTGTTTAAGGGGGCTGAGCTAGATTATTAGTCCATTTATATATTCTCTGGCCCTGTTGCCTTTTTATGTAGCAGATACTAAAAAATATTTATCGAATTGAAATCTTGCTAGCAGTTACCATTTATTGAGTAATTAATTTACTAAGCATTCTTCCAAGGGTTTGTTATTTAATTTTTATGTGATGTTTAATTTTATACATCAGCTTGGCCGTGGTGCCCAGATCAAGCATTATTGTGGATGTTTCCATGAAGGTAATTTTTAAATGAGATTAACTCTTAACTCAGTGGACTCTGAGGACATCAGATTACTCTCCATGTTATGGGTGGGCCTCATCCAATCAGTTGAAGGCCTGACTAAACAAAGACTGACTTCCCCTGAGCAGGAAGCAATTGTGGCAGTAGACCGGCTTTGGACTTCAGTGCAACTCTGCCCTGGGTCTCCAGCCTGCCAGTGCACCCTGTAGAGTTTGGACTTGCTAAGCCTCAACCACTGCATGAGCCAGTTCCTTAAAATCAGTCTTTCTCTGGCTAATCATACATCTTTATGGCTAAACATTTATGCCCATTTTATAGGTGAGGAAGTTGAGGTTCAAAGGCATTGAGTACTATGCCCAGGGATCCATGCCTGAAAAATGTGGAGCCAGGATTTCAGTCCAGGTTTTTTGAGCCCCAGGAAAATACAGCTTCTTAAGCATAAATCCAGAAAACACCATGACCTGCATACAATACAAACTGTATTTTCTGTATTACTAGAAAGTAATGATTCACAATCTACCTTGGGTTCTTACAGAACAAGGCAACCACCAATATGCATCTCCTCATCCAGGTGAAGTGCAAAAAAAGTGCCCATTAGTAGACGTGTGTCCATTGGTGGACACAAAGACGTGTCACTGTTTTTCATTGCATGGACACTTGCTCGGCACATTTAAATCCTACAGATTCAATTCCCTCCCTGGCAGTCATCGTTTCCAGTAGGATCATGAAATCACCACACCATTTTTATAAATCATCAACCGCAAGAGCTTTAGGACCATGAGAGAGAACTAAATAAACACCAATTTAAAATTAACCATTTTGAGGGGTGGGTACAGCTGAATGGTAGAGCAGGTGCTTAGCATGCATGAGGTCCTGGGTTCAATCCCCAGTACCTCCATTTAAAAAAACCAAACAAATAAATAAATGAACCCAATTACCTCCAAAATTTAAAAAAAATTAAAAATTAAAAAAATAAAATAAAATTAACCATTTTGGAGGTAGGATAGAGCTCAGTGGTAGAACGTGTGCTTAGAATGCATGAGGTCCTAGGTTCAATCCCCAGGACCTCCACTCAAAAAGAAATAAAAAAGTAAATGAACTTAATTACCCACGCCCCCCAAAAAACTTAAAAAATAAATATAATTAACCATTTTGTTGAAAGCAAGATTACATCACGTGCCTCTGAAAAAGAAATGAACATACAGAGAAAAAGGCGGTCCATGCGGATGAAATTAAAACAGAGGCAAGCAGCGCGCATGGAGTCCCCGGACCTCTCGAGCCCTCTTGCCGCGGGCTAAAGTCCCATGTGGCGGTCAAGACTTCAGAAGTGGCCTCTACCTGGAACCTTTCCACGGGAAAAGCCAGCAGTAAATATTGACCCCAGGCCCAGCGGTTTCTGTTTGAACGGCAGTCTGCTGCGGCCAGAGAGAGCAAGCCGGGCCACATCTGGCCAAGGGCTGCTTTCAAGACTTGTCACTTGTCAAGAGACAACCCCTGGCGCTGAACTGAAATCATTCTCCCCAGGATGGAGAAGACGGCAATGAAGATGCTGATCGTGCTGGTCCTTGGAACGAACTACTGGTCTTGCGCAGGTAAGGAGCTCAGAGACCGGACGCCGGCAGCGACGTGGAGCCGTCCTGGTCCGTGTCCCCCGTCTCACCGTGTCCCCGTGTGCTCGTGAGCGCAGGCTTCCCCGTCTATGACTACGACCCGTCCTCTCTGAGGGAGGCAGTCCGCGCCTCGCTGGCAAAAGTGAACTCCCAGTCGCTGAGCCCTTACCTGTTTCGGGCGTTCAGAAGCTCAATAAAAAGAGTAAGTGCCCCTTACGCCTTCTCTAGTCCTCTTTACACTGCTTTCTGGGTTTTTTTTCTTTCGTCTTTTTTTGATTCCACTTAACAATTTTTGCCAGTTTAAAAAGACAGCAGCTATTCATCCCTTTCACACTCTTTTTCAGTCGAGAAAGTATGTAATTACAATGATGGTCATAAAGCTCTCACAGCCCTTTGGATGGTGGATTCTCCCGCAGTTTCCTTCCCTCTGGCCCCACTTCCTGCTTCCAGCTGTCGCCCTCTGCGCTTCCTGCTTCTGTACCCACAGTCCCCGTGGCTCCTCTTGAGATGTCTTGTTAAGAACTGCGTGTTTATTAGAAAGAAGGCCTTTTCCAGTCCAGCAGTTCTGTTCCTAATACAGGAAATAAATTCTGGCGTTTGAGGCAAGGAAATCCACTTTCCTTTGTCAGCGTGGCAGTAGCCTGTTTCCTGTTAGCTTTGGGAAATGGGAAAAGATGAATTTTCATGGGCTTCCAGTGACTAAGCCCATGATTGGCAAAGAAAGAGAAGGGGAAATGAATTTCAAAGGAAATGAGAAACTAGACCGCAGGCGGCCTCTCTCCTCCCTGGGCCCCAGGTGACCTGCCTCTTGTTCTATAAATACCTGTCCTTCTCTCTGGAGAGTTTAGGTTAAGATGGGAGGTGGGGAGGTTCTACAGAGTTCCAGGTCACACTGATGAGAACTTGCAGCCAGGCCACCTGGGAACTGGGAACCGTGGGGACGTGGCCAGGGGTCCAGGCAGCCGAGGCCGGAGGTCATCGCTTTCTCTCTGCCTCCCTGCTCCCCTCCCCGACCCCTTCCAGCGCCACCTTAGTGCGCACCTAGTCTGCTCCCTCCCTCCTGGGAGGAGCACACGGTTCGAGGCTTCTGGGGTCCAGTCTCCAAACACAGTGCATTCCCCTTGGCCCCTCTTCTTCAGAAACTGGCTCAGGTTCTCATTTGCAGGTCCCAGGAAGTCAATCGAGCTGCCCCAGTTGTCTCTCCCAGCCAGGCCGTAGGTCACCAAGATGAGGGCGGTGCTTCAGCTAGGCTGCCAGCCCAGAGCCCCACTGTCCTGGCCGGGCTGGGGTCACGTGGCCTGACGTCCTGGTGCGGAGGCACCGCATGATGTGCGCAGTCAGCTCCCAAGACGAAGGGTGAATTCCTTCTGGAAGAGTCTTGGACACAATAAAGAACCCCTCCCTTGCGCACTGGCTAAACTGGCTTCCGTCCTTTGCATTTAATGAAGTCCACGTGTGGCGTGGGGGATTCAGTGTCCTCTTGCCAAGGTTGCAAATGAAGTTTAAATTTACTTGTGATTTAGCCAGTGCTCACGACACAAGAAGGTTAGTGGTCAATTAACTAAGTGAATAAGAGTGTGAGGACAGGCCCTGAGAGGACCAGTTACTGACACCACGGAGATCTGGCCAGTGGAGACGAGCCAGCGTGAGGCGTGGTCATCCAGGGCTCATTCCAGCACATGTGCCACTGTGGTGACAGACCTGAGCCCAGTCACACGTGCACCTGCAAATGAACACGCTTATGTATGCGTGTGGGTGATCCTTCGCCAGAAAGAGTGCCCTCCCCGCTTCTCGCCAGTCTTTTATCCGTGTTCAGATTCATCGGTCAAGTTGCATTCGCCATGTCCCTTCCACGAAAACTTCCTCTCTTCTCCCAGGGGAAGGAAAACCCTCCTCCTCTGATCTCGCCCGGTGACATTCCTTTCTTCTTAAACGTGGTTCATGTTTTGCTGTATTGTTGGTCATACCTTCTAAAATGCCCTAAAGATGGCTCCAAATACACCAATTCCGTCCCTGCCAGTAGACGCAAGAGATACACTCAGAGCTAAGCAAAGCCCTCAGGAAAGGAATGAAGGAAAAGATCATTGGCACTGAGGGTATAAAAAAATTCACGGGAGGAGACATACAGCTGAGCTTGAAACACTTGGAGAGATATCTCACCTCTCTGAAAGCCAACAAAATCAGAATTAAAATAGCACGGTGAAAAGGAACTCTC